TGTTGGTCTCTTCTCCTAAGTAACATGTGACAGAAGAAGAGAAAATGGCCTTAAATTGCACCAGGGGAGGTTTACATTAGATATTAAGAAAAATGTCTTCATCAAAAGAGTTGTCAAGCATTGGAACAGGCTGGCCGGGGAATTGGTGCACTCAGAATCCCTGGAGGTATTTAAGACACATAGGTGTAGCACTTAGGGACATGGTTTAACGGTGGACCTGGCAATGTTAGGTTTCTAGTCTAACTCAATCTTAAAAGTCTTTTCCAACCTAAATGATTCTATGATTCTTTGTCAAAAATTCATCCAATCAAAAAGTAGGATTTTTTTCCTTACAAAGTCAACAAGCTTGACTTCTTTCACTTACTAGCATAGGCCTCTAGCTGTGTTTATTATTACAACATTACTCTACACTCAGGCTTAAATGCCTTTCCTGGCAAAAAAAAAGGGTTTAGATTTGATGACAGATTTATTCTAAATGCAAATTTCTTCTCTACCTCTCAGAGAGAGACTTCAGTAACAGTCTAGATATCAACCAACATCTGTATAGTACTACAACTGAGTATTAATACACTAAATTCTCCCTACAATATTATTAGGTGATATTATAAAAGTGCTTGAAAAGGAACTATCAATTTGTATCAAAATAACTACTTACAGGCATAGACTGCCATCTAGTGATTTTGATCATCTACAGAAAAAAAAACAAAAAGCCAAACTCCCTTCTTCCAGATCAGGAGAAAAAAACACATTAATTTCTTTTTATTTTATATCAACATATAGAAAAAAACTCATATTGTATCACTTGTATCTCCTATTATTATGTTGATGGTAAATGCAGGAGGGGAATGAGGAAAGAGGCAGTAAGTCTATATAATCTTCCTTGTACAGGTATGATCCATGAGGTCAGCTGCTCATCAACTCTGGAATTCCTCCTTATTTTACACAAACTCTAGCCTTTGCATAAAACAAGCACTGCAACCAGAACTTATTTAATCTCTAAGACAATACTGATAGACAGCAACACCCGTATCAAAATTTTGGATTCCTTCAATTACTGTGCTTTCAGTCTTTCCTGGCTCTCCTCAGCATTGTAACTATATTTTCAGTACATCCTCTAGTTCATCATTCCTTCTTCACCCATTTTCTGCAGGATTTCACTATTAGTGAAGAAAGAAGCCAAGCTACCTGTGTTACCTGTGTCACCTGTGTCATTTTATCTGCCTTACAAAGTTAAATTACCATTATGTGAGTAACTCCTAAATTCACCTTACCTTCACACTCCTCTTTCTGTCCACACTTGTATTTCACATATTGCCATCATTTATTTATGAGCAACTCACCAGTAACATAAAGAACTCTTTCTTTTTCCTGTCATGTCTTCTCTGTCCCCTTCTCTCTCAATCACTATCATCATCTTCAGTTCACTCCTCATCTGGACCTAAATCTCAGAACTGCAAGATAAATGGATCTTAGGAAGATCTTTCTATAATGGATCTGCAAGACAAACTTGTTTTAAGTAGGAAAACAGCAAAAAGCTTTCCCAATTTCTCCTTCTCTTCTAGCTAACACACTTCTCCTCTAGCAAATGCAATCTTTGCAATGCTCTGAACATATGTGAAGAGATAGTTTCCTACCTTTTTAATCTGATCTTACCAGCACTTTATGTACCTACCCATTTTATTTTACAGTCACATATAAAAAGAGCACTACTTAGTTCTTTCTTCTCAATTCTACCTTCTTATTCACCATGAAAAGGTCAGTACCCTTTTTGATCAAACGGCAATACTAGCTTTCATTAGCCCTTGTTCAGTGTTCATTTAAGTACTTCCACAATTTCTCATGTTGCCTCTCGCTTTAAAGAAGTTCAAGTATTCCCAAAGTCATGTCATATCTTCCTCAAAAATCTCATTTAAAAAAAAAAAATTTATTGTTGTAAAATAAATCAGATTCTAGCTTGGCTGCTGGTATGCTGTGACTGTTGCTTATCATAGAGACTAACACATTGTAAATAGTTCTTTGCACTCCATTAACAGTAACCATCTCAAAAGTACCCCTGCACTCTGGGGCTATCATGGAGCCTTTGAACAGCACCCAAACTTTTGAATACACCATCAATAAAATGCTACTACAATTAAATAATGTCCTTCCTTAATTCTAATATTATATGACTTTCTTACATCAGAGAAAACAAATGACCCTCAAAGCAACACCCTAACAATATAAAGTTTGTTCGTCTTTTAAACTGGAGATGTTCACTAAAAAATGAGAAGGTTGTTTATAGGGCCATCTGCTCCTGTTGCTTATTTCCCAAATGAAGTCTTCTGTAGCCCATGTTTCCAGCAACTGAATGCTGTTTCAGAGGCTTCCTTTTCACATGAAATCTAGTAAAGAGAGTTAACATATCACACCAGAGTTACAGAACTCTAACACAGCAGCAATAAATACCATTGCTAATAAGAGTCCTATCCAAACTATTTGAATATTAACATATAAACTAGAAAGTGAGAAAACATCCATATAATAATTGAAGCAGAGAAACGAGACAATGAAATATGGTTCTGCTTCTAAAACTTCTTAAAAGTACATTCTTCCTCTCTCCCTTTTTTGGTTCACTCCAAAAAATAGACCTTGCTGAACTCCAAGCTGGCAGTAATGCATCTCCTCCAAATGAGAAAAATGAAATAGATTTAATTACTGGCTGCAAGTGGTCCAAGTCATCTTTGTGCCTTGAAGAAAGTAAGCTGCTGAAACTCAACATTTTAAAATTTCTTCTGTTTAATAGCCCAGTGGGGGAGATAGTGACTGCCAAATTAAAAGCTATCAGGTTACTGTATCCACAACCAGCTTCCAAGACCTGTAAAATGCTATGTACTACCTGGCGGGCCATACATGAAACATTCTTTAGCATTCCAGCAACAGTACTTCTCAGAACAAAATGGGTACTTAATGAAACCAAAGCAAATGGACTTACCAAAGAGAAACTTAAATGGAAGAACAGTGAAGGACTTCGAAAAGTCCTCTAGATTTGCCAACCCGGTATTACTAACTAGGTGGTTAAATTCTATCCATCAAGAACTGTGAACGTGACACTTAACTGCTTGTGCAACAACATAGGATCTGAAAGAGTCTTCGTCTTCCTCCTACCTTTCTTAGAAGTCACTGATACCCAGCCATAGGAGACTGTCCCCCAGAAATAGCAGAACTAATTTTCTTCCAAAATGAACACAAATAGGCATTAATTTAAATCACAGATAACATGAGAAAAGCTCCTGCAAATTTTAAAGAAATTGCCTATTTAAAACTTACTTAAATAATGTTTTCAACGACAATTAAAGAGTTCCTGCAAGTGACTATTTTTCCTCTTCCACTGAACTTACCTCAGCTGTCTGAGGTATGAGATGATAAAGCACCATCTTATTTTTCATATACTTTCGCAAAGCTGTTTTTCCTATCTAGTGAAGTGTTGGGTCTGTGTGGTGGATTTTGGTAGTGTAGGAGGAGGGTAGAGCAGTGGGCTCCTGTGAAAAGCTTCTCAAAGATCCACTGGCTCCAAGTTGGACCTGCCTCTGGCCAAGGCCAAGACAATTAGGAACGGAGGCTGCACCTTTGTGATAACATATTTAAGAAGGGGAATCTGGAGAGGAGTTGCGAGAACACCTATGCTGACGCTGAGGTCAGTGGAAGAAAGGAGGAGGAGTGAGGGAGATGCGCTGCAGCTTTCCTGTAGAGCATGTGAGACTCCCCTGCAGCCCGTGGTGAGAGTACAGGCTGTTCCATGGAGGTCACTGGTGGAGCAGGTGGCCATGCCAGAGCAGGTGGATGCGCGCAAAGAAGTCCAGGACTCTGAGGGAAGCTCCCACTGTTGTAGCACTGGGAGGATTGTAACATGTGGGAGGGACACAGGCTGGAGCAGTTCATAAAAAGCTGCAGACCATGGGAGAGAGACTCATGTCAGAGAAAGTCTGTGAAGGACTCTCTCCCATGGAAGGGATCCGACGCTGGAGCAGGGGAAGTGTGTGAGGAGTCCTCCCTGAGGAGGAAGGAGCAGCAGAGACAATGGGTGATGAGATGACCACAACCCCCATTCCTCGACCCCCTTTGCTGCTGGTGGGGAGGAAGTAGAGAAATGGGGGACAAAGCTGAGCCTGGGAAGAAGAGAGGAGTGGGGGGAAGGCATTTTTAAGATGTGGTTTTATTTCTCACTGTACTACTCTGATTGGTAAATTAAGTGGTGGTGGTGTTCAAATTAAATTGATGCGGTTTTTTCTTTCCCTAACAAGTCTGTCTTTTGCCTGTGACCATAAGGGGTGAATCATCCCTCCCTCTCCTCATCTTGATTCCAGAGCCTTCTGCTTTATTTTGTCATCCCCATCCCTGAGGGGGAAGGAGTGAGTGAGCATCTTTAGCTGCCGGGTGCTCAGTTGCCCTCTGGGCTCAAACCAGGACAAGTGATAAATACTCTTTGAGACAAAGCTTGTACCATTTGTCTCAATGCCTTCACATGATTCTCCCAAAGAAGTAAATCAATCACATTTTAGATGAAACACAAGCATAGCTATAACACATCATTACTATATTGGCTTTCTAAGCCATGCTAGAAAATACTATATTTAACCAAGAGTTTAAATCCATTTTAATGTAATTACTTTGCAGTACTTGACAGATAGTTCTAAAAAGTATCACCATGCATTGTTGCTAAGAGGCTTTAAATTGATTACAGTAATTAAATGGGGCCAGCATCTGGTCCAATTGCAGTTTAAAAAAAATGAAGTTATACTGATAAAGTTAGCTGAAGAAATAGAAGACTCCTGAAGTTATGTCAGCAAGTTTCAAAAGCTCTGAAAGATAAATACTAACACGTTCAAAACTTTTTCTCTTTCCAAAGACAGAAAGGAAAACATAGGTTCATTTATAAAGATTCTCTCCCACAAACCATAGAGGGATACAAAAGAACAGAGATGCTAATAGGAAAATAATGTCAGATTTAGAAGTTAACTTACCATATTTGTCTCGTAAGCCAACTGTACACCTGAATACTCCTCCAAAGGCCACATCTTCACCAAATATTACTGAAAGATAAGAACAGTGGAGGAGGTTATTGTTACTCCAGGGCATCTTATTTTTAATGAACATTTCAAATGTTTTTATATGAGACACTAACATAAGTAGCACATAACATTTCATTTTACTTTACCTAGACTTAAGCATTTCTCATGCACAACCTAACAAATAAAGAACCAAGGTTAATGCAACACAACTAAGTTTCAAAACAGAATTCATGAAACTGATTCAGCTATGCTTTCATTAAACTATTTATTTTTCTGCAATATTCTATACCACAACATCTAAATCTAAATGAATAAAAGCAATTCCAAGAAAAAATTACATTTAATCACTAAAGAGTCACTGAAGTTGTGTTCTGCTTCAACTGATAACCGCTTGCATTCCTCATCCACAGATTTCAGTTTTCTTCAAAATACCAATCCAACATGAAATTTCAAACCTCCTCCAAACATACTTGCCAGATCCCTGAAGTCTACAGAAAGGATGGATATCTAATAACCAGGACAACTGGTTATTCAACACTATTATCCTTAAAGTGTGGGTAATGTAGTCAATAAATTTTTATCATGAAAAGTAATTGCCTTTAAAATTTAGCTTCATATCAAGTAATCTGCAGATCTTTTTGCATTGAATTTATGGAATGATGATTAATTTTTCTTAAAACAGTTTTGTTGTTTAATTCACAGAAATAAGTATTTCTCTTTTTTTAGCATGGAAGAGATGTGCAGCAGTATCATCAATAGTAGCTTGCATGCACTAGGGTCCGTTCTGATAATCCCCACATTCCTAAATACTCTCCATATTCTAAAGGACACAAAATAATGAGTTAGCCTCCTCGCTTTTCCAATATTATTTTTATTTAAATAAAATACATTTCCGATTGAAAGCACTAAAAGGGATTATTCTGACAATCATATTAATGACACCACTTAAAGAAAAATAACTTGTACAATGATGTAGAATCAAAGCAGTCATGGAGTATATGATTGAAGTATGTCCCCAGATTATCTCTCTAATTAATTTTTAATATTAACTTGTTTGCTTTTTTAATGTACTTAAAATCTTTGTAAGGACTTTCCATTACCATATGGCTATTCACTTTTGAGCCAGATGGCATTAAAAAAATCCCATTTAATACTGGTATCAGCAAACTTGCATGGGTTTACTCATTCTGTTCAGCCACTGAAAATATTTTCCCAGACAGACTCTAATTCTCATCATCACAAGTATGAGGATTTCCACTACTTAAACAGCAGTTGCTCAATTCCCATACAACTAAAAACATATGAAGGACATGCTTTCTATTGCAAGTCCTAATTAATTCAGTAAGTAGAGTGATACTAACAACTCCCAGTCTGGACTGTAGAACTCCAACATGGTCTTGCAAAAGGCTTTGCAAAGATCCAGCCCTGCAAAGCTGAGGAACAAGACTGGAGCCTTAGAGCGACTAAAAGGCTGAAAATTACATATGAGTTTAGGTTCCTACTGGACTAACACTCTACTTAGTTTTATATGGCTGATTCTACAGAAATAGTGCTAAAAATCTGTTCTTGGCACTAATTTACCCTCTAAGTTCAATTTAATAAAGGTGACTAACACAGCTGTAGATTGAGAGGGAACTTATTACACAGTCAGCACTGGACAGACAACATAGAATTTGTCCTAACAGATCAGACAATTAGTCAGACTTTAAATTGAGCAGTAGTTCAAGTAGTGCCAAAAAGAGTTACTAACACACTAGAAGGAAAAAAAAAAATACACAAGATCATACAACTTTTGCAGCCATATTCATGACATTAAACATCTCTTTCAGATGTCTGGCCATCACCTTTGTTACGACAACAGAAGCCACAGATGTCCTGTTATGTACAAGAATTAAAAGTGCAGTAAATATTAATAGTTTTGTGCAAAAGCATTTAGAATAACCCTTTTAAATCAAGCTATGATGAACTACCTTCTTCAAAGGTACAGGTTATCTAGACTGAAAAATTCTAGAAAATCTTACATTGCCTATGCACAATGATGAACAGTAATCAGTAAAGCTGGAAAGGAATTTTGGAGAGCAAGGTAGGAGAGAAAGGAGAATGAAGAGAGCGAGGAATACATAGTCTCTAAAAAACCCCACCTTTAAGCATAGAGAGTTGAAGGAATTAACAACTAAGATTTACATTTTAAAAACTCATGGTATTCAAGCTGCCCTTAAGTACAGTTCACATCAGTAATGCCAGAAGCATGTTAAGCAATGTATCTTTCTGTCTCAACTTTCAAGCAAAATACACACAGCTAATACAGAAGACACAGCTGCATCCTAGATCACACCATTAATAATCTGTTAATACCAACACATTTTTAAGTTTCGTTTGCGAACAAAGTGTAGAAATAACTTATTAGAAGACTTTAAAGGCCATGAGAAATGCATTTAATACTGTACACAAACAGGCAAAACAAAATGCAGTTATAACAAAGAAAAACACAGTAACAAGTATAGTATACCTGCAGTCGGATCTTTGGCTAAAGCATTGTCCAAGGCACTTGTTATGGATTGGAAGAGATTCATCTTCTGGGTTTGCCCTGTGTGAAAGTTATTATTTAGCCACTTAATTTGGTTCAAAACACAAAGTACATTAGAAAATACTGCTGCAAAACACAAATACAAACTTAGTTAACAGTCATAAACAAGATCCCTGTTAGGTGTACCCAAGATTCATCTACTGAGTAAACTTAAATTATGGGATAGATGAGATTAAGTATGGTATACTTAGCAGTCCCAAGAACTATAATTCTACTGTCCCTGCATTCAACCTTTTTATCAAAAACTATGCTCTTAACTAGAGCAAAGTCTTTGCAATGCCTAGTCAAACATTAAGAACAATGACTAATACAACAGTCTTTCAAAGGAAAAAAAACATAGTAAAGCATTATTATTTTGAGGGTTGGGATCCTTTCTACTAAGAATCACCAGATCTCATTAAGCTTACTTCATCATTCTTTAATAGCTTTTTTTAAAAGCTCCAGTCTGTCCTGTTTACAGACACCTATTACTATCAGAAGTTTTCTAGACCACCAGCCTGCTCTCTGGACTGCAGTTAGAAAGTGTCAGAAGCATCAAATCCACACTCAGGAGAAAACCTGATGCTGAACAGCTATACCTAAAATGCATACTTAAAAAAGCAAATGTACCAGACTGCTGTATTAAAATATTTTGCAGCACCAATGATTGAAAGAAAACCTTCAAAACCAAGAAGGGCTACCCTAGTGCCCCTCTTCATTCCAGCAGTGCAAGGAAAAATAAACAGGCCTAAAAGGAAAGACAGAACAGAACTGTAGCCCAGTCCCCACTACTGGGACCAAATTAGATCCTCCAAGTAAATAAAATAATGCCTTATCAGAAACTAAATGAATAAGAAATTGCCTGGCTAACATTTGGTAGCTCTTTAACGGGCAAAACCTCTAAATCATGACTAATACCCACAGGTCAGGAAAATACTACCTACCAGCACATACAGCATGTATAAACAAAAACACCTGCATGGTTAGGTGAAGATCCCAGACAAACATGCGAACAGATGTTAGAAATCAGAAAGGAGAACTACATTCTGTTTCCAGTAGCTACAGTATCCCTCAACAACCATCCAGGCTCCCTCCTAAACTGTTAATCAACCTTAGCATTTTTTGTTAAAGACTCATGTCATGCCACACCAGAACTGAGTAGCTGCATTCCTACATGTTCCTGTGCTTGGTAGCTTCACTTGTTACCCTTTACATAGCCCTTTAAGATGAGGAAACTGTAAAAAAAAATATATGGGAACTGTTCAAAATATACATAAGCTACAAACAATGAACATTTATAAATTCAAGTGAAGGAATGCTGGGGAACAGCAGTTGTTTCTTTCCTAAGTCATCCACATTAGTATTTACGTTATCTTTTCCACAAGAAACAATCCTTCCAACATTTAATATAAATAAATGCCTATCACTTAATCAACTGTCAGAAACTCCTCACACTTACTGTTCTGACCTGCCATTTTTGCTTATAATAAAGGCCTCTGTATCAGCCCTTGAAGGAAAGGAAAATCTAACTGTGCCCTTCAGATTTGAACTGTGGAGTTGAATAAGCATTATCTTACCAGGATTGGTATTGGCATAACCTTATTTTACTTTCACTATTTTTCACAGAATTTCAAAGTATGTTTTAAATCAAAGTAGTTTTCCATTAATAAATTTCAACAAAAACTGGACTGTCCACTACAGCTTCTTTGCCATCATCTCAGGCAGGGACTTCCAGCACACAATGCACCACCCAATGAGCAAAAGAAATGGCTTGGAGTTTTCTTGGACTTAATGACCAAATGGAACACCAAGGTATACAACAAGGTAACAGCCTTCTAGAAGACAGTGCAGTTCATGTGAGAAAACAGCTATTCTGCAGCTGGCAGGCTTCTTCCAGGAGAACTTGGCACTGGTCGTTTGCAGGGATACACCTCAGAAATACAAGTCAAAACATCAGCCTTCATCCTGAGCTGTTTGTTTCCGACCAGTCTGTTTACTCTCAACCATGTGATCAATCATGGATTGCCTCAAACCCTCCACTAGGCAGCAGTCTTTATTAATCACAGTTTTATTACAACATTCATGACTTAAGCATACAATAAAAATTAGGGATGGATGTAAGTCATCCAGTTACTGCTAGCTTTTCCCTTGAAACAGGAGCGGGACAGGGGAAAGGCTTGCAGGCCCGAGCTTATGATGTGAAGGCCTAGTGCAACTGCAGCAGGGCAGCTGCACTGGCTGCCCAAAAACACTTCACGGACACACCACACACCCCCCCCCGGAGCACCACCGCACCCTTCGGCGGCCCACGGGGGCCACCTAACCCACAGTCCCAATTAATTTTTCGCTGAAAACCCACAAGTGGAAACGCCGCGGACACAGCGGAGGAAACACACCGAGGCGGGGCCCACCGCCACCCGGGGCCCCGCTCCCAGCGCTGGCGGCCGCCGCCCCACCAGGGAAGACTCGCTCCCTCGGCCACCGGCGCCT